AAAAAAAAAACCAAAACCAAAAAACAAAAACACAAACCACACACACACACAAAACAACAATAAAAAAACCCTTACAAGCAACTGAGTTCTAACACTATATAAATGGTCAGAAAATAGATTTTATGAGCAATAAATTCTCAACAGGTGTCACGTTATTTGTTCACACATAACCTCCTTTCAGTCCATACGGAATAATATGTAGCCTATTAAAACTAAATATTTAAAATTAAAAGTGTATCCGCTTATGCACATAAAAGGTACAGGTTGCATGTTAGCTAACTTTTCTGTATGGTGAGTTCATATTTTAGTCACTTGAGTAGTATAATAGCTACTAATAAGTGGTTTGATGATTAGGTGAAGCCGATTTTGCCATGTCAGGTTAGATCGCTGGTACTACTTATTATGGAACTGAACTTACCTTTAAAGTGACAATCCAGCAGTTTTTAAGAAAAGTATCTGTTGCAAAAATGAAGACTATCATACAGTGATAAAAGGGAGTACCCTCGTGACTATAGGTCATGACAAATTACATTAAGCTAATTCCTAAAAGCCAAATCTACAAATCATGTCGTGTTATCTCTGTTATATCCCAGAGCAGGTTATTCTTTTGTCTTTGGATGTCTTTAAATTTCCCATTTTATCAGATTCTCTGAAGACCTAAATGTGATATCTAATATTTTAGATAAAGTTCATTATTCATCATGGCTAGCCTACTGATCTTAATTGCTTATGCCTTTATTGTCTTTTTGAAGAAAATCCTTTCAAATATACCTTTTCTTTGGCCCATGGGAAAACTAAATTCGTAATGATTTAAAAGTTCTAGCTGATACTGAGTTATCTAAATGTAAGTTACTTAGCATTTATAAGACAGAACATGAGCTCCCCATGTATCCTTCCACTTTTATTCTTTAAAATAGCCTGAGTTAGTTTTCTTGAAAATTTTCCAGGAAAAAAAATCCTCTTTTGGCTCAGGCTCTCTAGGATGTATTGTAGTGCTTACTGGGTGTGAACTGTCAGATATTAGGATCCTGTATAAAAATATTAATGATACTTTTTGAAGTTACCTTTTTAAGTTACCTAGAAGCTAACTTTTAAGTTGGAAACCAGTGGTGCATTCCCAGCTACTCCACTGAGTCATACCAGCTGAAAGGTTCTCTGAGCTTCTGCCAAGGTAGAATGTGAGTATTGTTTTGACCTCAAATAAGCTATCATGGAAATATTGGGAGAGGTGTGAGATGGGGTGGAAAACTTGGGAATATCGATATCTTGGAGAAACCTAATTATGATAACTGAAAACAAACTCAGACTCCAGGATGGAAGGGAAATTGAACATTAGTTTAGGGTGTCTCTGATGTATTGAAAATGGCTGTACACGTGGCCAGAAGGAAAGAATTGCAAAGTAATGAAGGAATGAAAATGGAATTCTGCAGAGATTTGCTTTTTCACTCTGTGTTTATGGTGGTAATAGCGATGGAAGAACTGCAAAAGATTTAGATTAATGGGGTATTAGTTTAGAGTTCCTGCCCAGTTTACATACCTCCAAGTTCCAAATGCATTGCAAAAAATTATCTGCATTATTTGGTCTGCAAAATTTGGGCTGGATATTTCCTTAGGAGAAGCTATTTGATAATAGATCTGGTGATTCTTTTTCTGGAAACTAAACCTGCAGTTGAGTTTAAAGGATTGGGAAAGAGCATGCATGAGGAAAGGCTATGCAGGGGAAGATGTAGCATATCTTGCTCTGTAGCCAAGTCACAAAATATAGCAATATGTGGTTGCCAAATTGTTGAGCTGTTTGTTAGGGGACCTGAGGGACAGAGATCTTGACCAGATCTTGATCCAGAAACATTAAGGAAAGTTGTTTTTTATTATCCTGTATATAAAAAAAACCCTGCTTTGTCATGTCTGTTTACTCTATTTTCTTTTGTTTCCTTTGTGTTCCTTGTGCTTCTCTTAATCCAGATTTTAGGGGCAGTACTTACAGCTGTTTATACTCTTTACCTAGCAGTGATCTAAGGGATATTTCAGGTGAACTGGGCACAAAAATTTGCATGGGAGACTTTCTTATCAGAAAACGCTATTTCATTGAAAGCAAAAATTTCCTTCACAAGGTGTTAATTTTTTGTAAAGAATTGTGACAAAAATATCTTTAGGATAAGGTCAAAACTTTAGCATTTTTAAAGAAATCTCGTTTCTTCTTTTTGGAATGACTTCTCATTTTAAAATCTGTTTTCAATTCCAGAGTGAAACATGGTCTCTGAAGTCAAAACTGGGGGGAAAAAAACAGTATTTATTCACATTCCAACTCAAACCAAATAAAATGTGACAATTCCTTATGAAATGGACAGCTTGAGGCTGGACCTGCAGGAATCATGTCTTCATCTGAATGTTTCTGTTGTCTTCCCTTGGTTCTGCGTACAGGCAAGAAAGTTGTTGTAGTGATGAAGTTCATATCACCAGTGGTTTCTGAAGAACTGCTTGAGTAGGCTATGCCACAAAGAGCATGAACTTCATGTTGCCCACGTGGCTTTATACCACATGCACTGTCTGTGCTCAGAGCATAATGCTGTATGGCAAAACAGATTACCTAGTGGTAGGGCAAAAACGTCTAGTCCCAATGGGACATGCAAAAGTGCATCTATGTGTAAAAATGCACAGTTTGATTGACATTGAGGGAGTTCTCAAAAACTGTCTCAATGAGATACAGGAAGTTGCAAAGGTTTGTGGCAAGCTTTTCTTCAAACTTGTTTGCTCACGCTTACCTTGGATGTATTGCCACTGCCTCTGGCCAAGAGCTTATCTTGCCTGTGTTTTAAATTGCCTGAAAATTGAAGAAACAAATGATTACTTCAATCTTGGTTAAAATGCTGAGATATAATTAAGCTTCTAAGTTGTATTATTCCTGTACTTCCTACAAAGAAAATTAAGGTAAAAACATTGACAAGAGTTTCACAAATGTCTGGAACATACATCTCCCATTTAGGATCTGAATGGGCTGGAAAGACTCTTCCTCTTTAGAAAGACTATAACATCGCTAACTTGTAACACTGCAATTAGTAAATACCTAGTATCCTCCTATTTTAAGAAATTGTAGCACTCTTAAAATGTAACTTTAGACCTGTACTGCCCTACGTTTTGGGGGGACTGTTACCTCTCTTAAGTCAGACCATGCATGCACTTAGTTTTTGGCAAGGTTGTCTATGTGAGTTTCAGGTAATAATACAGAGCATCGAGCGCAGGCTGTGTACAAAGCCTGTCAGTGGTGTGGGATGTTATCCTAGCTTTATTGGTCAAAGTGGAACTCCAAACCTTGCCGGCAGGAAGTCTGTAAAAAGGCTGACGTTGAGCCTTCATTGTGTGTTGATCAGCAGTGTTGCATCTGCACAGGGAAAGCTATGGAGGTCTTTCTGTAGAAGCTTATCATACAGAACACCGAAACAGTCATAAGCAATTTTATGGTTCCTCACCTTGGTCCAGTGTTCAGTAACACTGGATAACTAAAATGACCTATGTCTCACTATAGTCATTTTCTAAGCATGCTGTTGTCACACATAGCACCACTTATTTACAAAGTAAATTCTGCTTTATGAGTTTTAGTGCACCTCTCTTTCTTTACCTTCAGTTTGGCTTTCGGTTCTCATGTCTTCCTTCTGTCATCATTTCTGCCCTTGATATTGCCTTCTTTACAATAAGTATTTATCTACATGTGCTCTTCAAGAACTCTTCCCAGTGGGCTTCTACCCCTCTCCATCCCTCTGCTAACGGATTCAATGAGAAATAGTTAACATTGACATTCCCAAATGTTGTCCAAAGGTTTTTCAGTTAAGCTGAGTCACAAAAATGGTTGCCGTTGCTTCAGGTTTTCTGTTGCTGATTCTAGACTACAACTCTGAACATGTTAAATGGAAAGAGAAGCTAATTTTTGCAGCCATAAACATTAGAGAATTTATTTCAAGCAAAAGCTCAAATTTCATGATACCTATCACATGTTCCATCATTAAGGGACATGTCTGACACTATTGCAAAAACAGAGAGCAGCTGTGCTCCTGAACATACTCATTTTCTGTGCCACTGTAGCCAGGACTGTGGTAGATTTTAAACTCTGTTCCAGAGGCTCTGGGTCCCAGCCAAGGTCCTGCAGAGCTGGCTGAATTTTTCCATTTAAAGCGTGTTCTCGTCCCCAGATGACTTTGTGCAGCACTGGCTGGCAGCGGCAGGTGCGTAAGTGCCTAGTCATGCCACAGGGAAGGATCACAGAATAGAAATATTTCATCCTTCGTGGCATGGTATCCTAGAAGAGTATGGAATAGCAATGCCGTTGCTCTAGGTAATCTGAACCTGCGAGGCTCTCCTCCATAGCACTGAGATAATACACGCGATGAGCTGGGTCCCCAAGCACAGGTGATATTTCTCAGTCCAGTTTGTATTTGCATCTATGAGTTGTAGGATGTTTAATCAGCTTCAGATTCTTTGCTATTACCAGGCAAATGCTCACCTTGGCATTTCTGTGTGATTCTGTACAGTCTCAGGTGAAACCTGGAGACTTCTTATTAAGGTTTTTATTCGTAGGAGTGACTTCTTCCCTTCATGATCTGTAAAAGCTTTATGTCAGAAAAAATAAGTATTTCCAGCATCTAAAAAAATATCTTTATGGGTCTTTCCTATTCAGAGGGGGTAAGATCGGCATGTTCAACACTACCTTGTTGTCTTTCTGACCTGTTAAATTTATTTTTATACTGTTTCTGTAATAAATCCATGGGAATGTAGCAATTGCCATACTAATGGCAATCATTAAATACTTGATGTTTCTGTGCTGGTGAGCTATGGAAAGCAGAGCTTATCAAGCAGAGCTTGGTACACTCTTACATAGAGGTAAATGTACAAATTACTCCAAAAATGGCAGTTACTCCAGGGCAAAAACTAGCATGAGATTGGAGTGAACCCTAATCCAATACCTTTAGTTTACTAGTAGGTAATGTTTTCCTTTCAATGATTCTTAGTGAAATGCTTCACAGAGGAGCTGAAAGTTGGCAAAAAAACACTCTTTGAAAATTTGGCTCCAGCTGATTTTATCCCTAGAAGCAGAACTGTGGATGATCTGGTACAACTGGTTAATTAAATCCTGTGCTGTTAGCCCTCGATTAGAAGCATTAAATGGCAAACCTTGTTAGCAGATTTGCTGGCCAAATATGGAGAGATTCTGTATATCATTCTGAGTACTTTATATTTGGGCTCTTAAAGAATGTATGCAGCTTGTCTAATGAAGTGTCTGTATGTACGAAAGGAAAAAAAGAAACAGATTTTGGATCTCTTCCTCAGTTGGTCTGTCTGCCTGTGTCTCTGTTCAATGAGTGGGGTAAAACTCCCCTTACATTTTTTTTATGTTTTTTTGGCCTCTTACCAGCAGGTTTTTACAGTCTGTTGCCTGCCTCTCCGATTAGAAGAACACTGGCATATTTTAACAGTTTCCTAGGATCCAAATAGTCTTTAATTAACATGGAATTGATGTTTTGGAGTGCAACCAAAACATGGGAGACATTGGAAGCAGAGAACGGGCTTGGATCCTTCCAGCTTTTAGCTGGCTGTGGCAAGGGGCGAACAAATTAGTAAAATAGGGTCCACTGCAAACAGGTAGTGACTTATTGGTATGCAAGGGGATTTCTTCATTTGCATTATGTTCCCACAGAACTGGTGGTTGGTAGCGTTAGCTGGGGGGAGCTTTCTGCTGTACAGAGTCTGAATCAGCTCCACCCCTTGCAAGAGCAGAAAGTATTCCTCGGTACCTTCCCATAAACAGAATTTCGGTGGCTGCTGAAATTGTTCTTAATTTAGATTTGTGTTGATCAGCTGTTGAGACAGCAAGGTATGTTGTGTTTGCAAGGTTTAGGTTGACTCTGAAGCTGTAAGCTCCATGAGTGAGCATTTAATTAAAAAATCAAAAGTCTGAAAATGACATGACTTAGAGGGTTGAGCAATAGGGTTGGGATGAAACACTGAAATTATAGCAGAATGAGACTAGCTGAAGTTCTAAAGGGAAGTCAGACATATGCTGAACTATTGTTCCAGGTAATCCAGGGAGAGAAATGGTTTATTATCTAATTTTAAATAATGATAGACTGATACCTGAAGCAATTTCTGGCAGAGAATTATAATCAACAGTCACTGAGTCAGCTATGCTCTTTTTCAGTAATGTAGTAATTTGTGGACAAATAAAAATGTATTTGTTTAATGCAATATTGGCTTTTTATTGTTGCTTTTTTATGTCAGCTTTTTTTTTTCTCCTTAATCATAGTACTTGCTGAATGCCTTCTGTCTCCTTCTACACACAGGTGGTACATGCCAGAGCCCTGCTCTTCCAGCCTTAGTGCGTCCTCCTGCTCCACCTTTGCAGCCGTCACTGGATATTAAACCATTTCTTCCATTTCCTCTGGACACTGCCGCAGCAGTCAATCTCTTCCCCAACTTCAATGCAGTAAGTACACTCCTAACAGTTCCTGTCCACTTCAGTGAGCCACAGTTTCCACGGAAGACTCAAGAGGGCACAAAGTAGAATTTTATGTACTCAATTAAACCTGGAATATCCTCTCCCTTACTAAGGGCCAAATAGCTCTTTCAGACACACGGGTAGGTTGTAAATTAAAGCCTAGCTGAATGTTAGCCAGAAGTAATGTAGAAGGAAAAAATGATATGATCCCAAGTGACATGCAATAAAGTTGCAGGCCATATTCAGTCACAGGGCTTCTGAGTTTCCCACTCTAATTTAAGATGTGCAGAGTTTCACTAACCTACGGTTCGCTGCAACTCTGAGAGAATGAAATTCTCAGAGTGATGGTGTTCTACATCCCATCTCCAACAGGCTTCCTGAGAAATACTTAAAAATTACAGATTGGAGGGGATACAAGAGATAAAACTGTCGAGGCAATTAAAGTAAGAATGAGAACAGCATTAGCTGGTATATGAGCTATTCACTGGCAAACAGTGTATTTTTTTCAGGTTAGATGTGTTGTTTCTCACGCCCTAGGTTAAAACAAGGTTAGATTTCTCTTTAATAATTTTTTTTACTTAGTCATACTATCTACAATTACAGAAATCTTATTCCTCCTTAAGTATTGTCATTATTTTACTGACATGTCATGAATGTTTCAATTTTCCTGTTTCTAAGATATTTAATGCTCTAAAAGAAAAAAAATTCTAAATTGGTTTTATGTTAATTTTGACTTTATAGAATTATGCCTCTTTTTAATTTTAATGTACTCTGGGAAGTTCTTTTCCTTATTTACATATACTAGATATAGAAAAAAAAATTAAGAATGTGTGTGCTTACCTACTTTGAGAGACACAGAAGGGTGGAATTTCCCATGCCAAAACAATACTAATTAGCATGCAAAAATCTTAATTACAATAATTAAGAGTAGTAAAAGAATGCGCCCATTCTAGAAGCAATTTGTAGTAATCAATAGCAAATTTCCATAATTAAATGTTCATTTATTTACCTTTTATGGATATTCATTTTACTTTAGAGTAATTAACATAAACTAATTGTCAAAAATATTTATATATGCAGTCTTAAATTCATGCAATTCACAGCATTAACAGAGATCAGAGAAGCTATAAGCTGCAAGTCTTAAAATGCTCAGAAACAATGTCAAAGAATTATTATTATAATGAAACTTTGTAATAGATATTGCAAAGAAACTTTTTCAAATTTTAAAAGGTATATAGGTATGCAGCAAAGTTTTAAAAAGTGCTACTTTTAACCAAGTTACTGATAACTAATAATGAAATGGATAAACCATTAGACTTGTTTACTATGCTTTAGGGTTTTTTTTACCCGTTTTGCTTTGTGATCACTGTTTGTATTCAATCTAACAGGCCAGCTGAATTTTTAGAAATTGTCTATTAGAACTTCTGTTTTTTTCAGGATTTTCCATAGTTCAGAGTCTTCAGATTGTTTTGCAAATTGTTGAACTTTGCATAATTCAAATGCAATTTTGATGATGAATTTTAATAAATAATTGTTAATCTTGTGGTGTTCCATGAATTTGCAGTTTCTTTTTTCTTATAAAGACTGGTTTTATACTGTAATTATCTTGGGGAAGAGGCTGGGGAAGATATGCTCATATTAATTTGGAAGTAAGAAAGTAAAAATTAACTCCTGTCAAAACCCTGTTATTCCCGAACATCATCTTATTAGTACATTGTTTGGTATAAGCACTGTAGCTTTTAAAATTTGAAAAAGTTTCTTTACAGACTCCTTGTCTCTTCAGTTTTTCAGTAAACTGAGCCTAGGTTTCAAGAGTGAGACTAGCAGCCCTTTTTAACAGCACTCTGAAGTTCGTTCCCATGCAGAGTACTTCTTCCTGTGATGCGTGGCCATCTGCCAAGTCCACCTTTGCAGAATATGTCAGTCCCAAGTGTAAGGATGCTGTCATCAGAGCTGCTGTCACCTGCCTTGCTACTCATAGTCTTTCCCTTGCAACGTGACCTTTGCCTTCTAATCATGTGTGCTGACATGCGGCATCATCCTCAGTGTTCCCATTTTCATTCTGAACAGTACATTATTGAATGCTGCTCTGTTTAGCTCATATGCCAGTGATGGTTAATTGCATCCTCCAAACATGTAGGCTAGCTGAGAAGTTCTGCATATTTCCAGAAATTCTTTCCAAGCTGACGAATCTTTTGGGGACACATCAGCTGCTGCTGAGCATTATCAGCCTAAGGAGAAGGTAACGCACAAGTCATATTAGACTTTAAACAGAATGCTGACAAGGGCTTTAAGTATGTGAATGTGGGACAGAAAACAAGTGTTTAACCAAAAAAAGATCTGTGTAAATATGCATGCTCATGAATGATTGTAGCTGTTGATAATGCTTGATATTCATTGACTTCACTGACAATCCTACGCAGTGCCAGTGGAGAAGCATTTATGTTCTGTGGCTAAGCCAAGGTCAAGCAGGTAGTCATTAAAAGAACACCTGAACTGGATGTTCTCTCTCGCGTTGTCAATAAATTAGCTTTACCCTTGATTGAGATGTCAAAGTCATAGATTGTGTCTTAGGAAATGGATTTCTAAAGACCTCTTGACCCTTGCACAATTCGACAGGAACTAATGAGTTTGGCAGCATGTCTCGGCTACTTCCCAAGAGGCTAGAAAGAAGTCCAGATTTTTGGTCACTTACTGGCCACTTTTCAACAGTCTTCACTTGAGAAGATCATGATCAAGGAGAAACTTGAGTAAAAATTCAGTCATGTTTCAGAGAAAAAAGTGGTCTCTGGTTATGGCAATCCTAATTCAACTTGAGAGTTTGGTTGTGATAGGCATAGGCCTGAGTTAATCAGCCTAAGTTTCTTTGCAAAAGATAAAGCAGAAAAATGAGCAATTTCTCCAGTTTTTTAAGTGGAGAAAAATGCACAAACGTAGGTTGCAATCACCCTTTATGTCTACTTTGGCATGAGGTGAAGTGAACCCTGAAAGTTCCCATTCATCTCTGCTGACTATAATGAGGGACTGGCTCAGCTGCATCTACATTTAATTAGATGAATTCCACATTATGGGACAGATCATAAGCTATTCACAGCTGATATATTAAATTCCACTCAGAAATCAGGTGACAGAAGTGCTGATATTGTATTGTATGCTTACAGAGGAATACTTCCATTTATCAAGCAGTTATGCTTCTAATTTTATCTAAAGACAATCTTAAGGGAATTTGAGGATTCAGATGAACTGGACAGAACTATTAGGAGACGTGAAAGCAAAAGTAACTTACCAATGGAGAATCTCAGGCACATACACAAGAACTGACAAAACCAAATACTGATCTTTAGTATCACAAATAATAATAGTAAGGTGCTGTATTTTATAATATTTTTTCACTCTATTTCAGTTTATTACAAACATAAGATTACTTTCTTTGTTACTGATGTTTTGCTCTAAAGCTAGCTCAGGTTTTGCTGGCCGCCTCTGAAGAAAACATTCAGCACTGATTTCTACAAAGGCAAAAGCTTTTATCGGAGCAGAGAATAGAAGAGAGAACACGGGATATGCAAACCTTTATCAGTAATATCTTTGGACACTGAGGAGAGGGAGAAGTAAAAAGTGAGTAACCTGAGAAATGCAAGGAAGATAACAAGTAAACCTTTGAACCATTCAGTTTCAGGAGGAACATTTTCTATTTATACAAGAAAGCGTAAAGCAAACATACCAATTAACAGTCTGGTTAGCTGAACATTTGTAGGTGCTGTGCTCTTAATTGTGAAGCAAATGGGTACCCTCAAGTCATATGAAAAAAGAAATTTTAACACCACAGCTGTTTAAACTGAAAACAGCCCACTGGTTCAGACCCTGAAGAATCACAAGTTCATTGCAAGTTTATCTGATATAAGAAGATGAATCAAGTGTATGGGATTTAAATAGCTAAATTTTATGAATGAAAGAAACTAGGACTACAAACAATGCTTATGTAGCTTTTTAAAATATGATTTGAAGATTGACAGAGGAATAGAAAAATAATTATCTATTCTGAAAAATGTTTGAGATCATTTAGCGAACATTTGGTATACTTCTGCGTTTTCATCTACAGAATGAGAAGCTTTAAGTCTGTCTAGTTCTCTAAGAACTAGTTCTTAGAGACACAAAGCTTTAGTAGCAGTTGTATTGACCAGCGTGAGCTGGTCAGTGAGTACATGTGAATGTGCATATGTGGTGTTTCTGTTCATGAGCCAATGGTTGGTTGCAAAGAAATTTCACAAAGCATCAAAGTCCAGAAGTTAATTAACTTGTAGGAAAATATTTATGAGAGTCCCTGGAATAAGAGGAAATGCTTCGTTTTGCTAGATATCAGTGTCAGCCCTAAGTGACCCTCCCACAGAAAAAAACTCAGGTCTTTTTTGTAGTCTCCAAAGCCTATCATTCTCAAAGTACAGATGCATCAGAAACCAGGTTTTGCTTATTTCTGAAGCTCTCAGAATTATATATTTCAGCTGCCTGAGAGACAGAATTTAAAGTTTACAAATCCAGGACATTTGCCATTATGAGGTGGAAAATCAGACAATGCATTGCACTCCTTGTTTGTTTATTCTTTGAAGGATATACTGACCATTTTCCTGAAAAATTTCTAAAAAATATTATATCACGCTTTTTAGACTGTAGTTTGAGCATAATCTGTAGTGGAAGAGGTCCATGATGTAGAAGATCTGAGTAAATGCTTGTAAGCAGAAATAGGGATGTTGCTTGAAAAGCTCCATCATCACTCCAAATTAAAGCCTGATCTCCCCATGTTGCCAGTGGAAAGTTTCCCAAAGAAGCATCCTTTGGAAAGAAACATGATTACAGTTTTGACTAGAAACGTATGACTTGGAAGAGCACTGGCAATGTCAGAACTGTACTAAACATGGATGGAAAATGAACTATTACTCTACAGATGTCTCTTTCCCATCATCCATTGGTAGTAATCCTTGTTCAGTCCCCTG